AACTTCCAATGAATTTTTATTTTCGGAAATTTATAGGGTGGCCACTTTTTTTGCTGGTCAGTGTATTTCCAGTGGGTCAGCACTTTTATACGTGATCGAATTCAAGAAACTGAGTATATACAGGGTGAGAATATCAGATATCCAAAAAACATATTTAGAAAAATTGTAGGCAATGATATTCTCCATTCTTGGAAAATATGTGAAATTCTACAGGGTGATTTATAACTACGTGGTATAGCAAACATACAATTTTTTAAATGGGACATCCTATATGTTTTTTCATATTTATATTCCTCTCATAATTTTTGTTCTTATAATATTAGGCTTTAATATGAAAACTGTCATTTTTTCAAAGCGTACTATTTTACCTTTATAACTGACACAAATGGCCTTTTACTTATTAATTACTGCGCGTCACAATCGGCAATTAGGAATGTTTTATTAAAAATTCCTGGCTTAGAATACTGTCGATATAACAATCTAAAAATGGTTACATAAATTGTATATTGTTCTGCTCTTTGTTTTGTGTTAGCTATTAATTGAATAAAAATAATCTTGTTATATCATTATAAAACATATCTTGTAGGAGTTTTAGTAATCTTATATTTCATTAAGGAAATATATTTCCATAATTTCACATTTATTGATACATTCATTGCATATTGTTATGGCTTATATTTTTTGTTAGTTACTTATTGAATAAAAATAATTTTGTTATATTATCACTCAATACCCAATACTTATTTCTACTTACAAAAATTGAATATGTATTTCCGAAATTTGAAGAAAACTAAAAACTGCTAGTAAAGTAATGAGCTTAGGTATAGGGAATGCTATATAAAAATGAAAGTGTATCATAAATACAATATTTCTAAAAAATAAAAAATAGGATGATCTATTTAAAAATATTGAGAAACTCGTAATTTTGTTTTGTATACACCCTGTATACAAATTTTTGTCAATGATATCAATTAAACTTAATTTAAAAACTACAATATATTGTTTACTTTATTATATAAAATAAATAATTGTTTATGCATTACTTCTTTATATACATGGTGTTGATTTCATGGATTTTTCAGGGATTTAGAAATAAAAAAGGTCATAACTTGCTAAATACTCTGTATAGTAATGCAAGACCCAATACTATAAGAAAAATAATTATGAGAAAAATACAAATTTGAAAAAATATATGGGGTGTACCATTTAAAAAAATTGTATGTTTTCTATACCACGTAGTTATTAATCACCATGTAGAATTCCACATATTTTCCAAGTATGGGGAATATCATTCTTCTTCTTCTTCAGATGCAATCCACTAATGAATGTTAGCGATCACATTTTTCATTAATTCTCTATTTCTTGCAATATGTATCAGAGATTGTATGTCGTTAATCCCTGTCCATTGCCTTATGTTTCGGAGCCAGGACATTTTCTTGCGTCCCATTCCTCTCTTGCCTTCAATTTTACCTCGATTATAAGTTGGAGGAACTGGTATTTTTCATTTCGCATGATGTGACTAGATACGCCGTTTTCCTTTTCTTGATGGTTTCGAAAAGTTGGCGTTCTTGGTTTATTCTTTTAAGGACATCTATATTTGTGATTTTCGCTGTCCATGGTATTTTTAGGATACGGCGATAAAGCCACATTTCGAAAGCTTCTAATCTGTTTATATCCCTCGTTTTGAGTGTCCAGCCCTCTACGCCATATAGCAGCACTGATCATACGTAGCACTTAGTAAACCTTAGTCTCAGTTGAAGAATCGAACTCTGAACAAGTCAGTACCTTCTTGAATTTTACGAAAGCTTGTCGAGCTTGCTCAATGCGACATTTTACTTCCCTGTCGATGCCAGTCTTCAAAAAGCCACGATCCCAGGTATTTAAATTTACTCACACTTTCTATGGATTTACTATTCAGTGTTATGGTGGAGTTTTCAAGTGCATCCAAGTTTCTGGAGATGATCATGAATTTGGTCTTTTTGGTATTAATCTCTAATCCCATTCGCTCACTGTATTCTCCGATTATAGTGACAAGTTGTTGAAGATCGATTATGTTGTCACAAATTAAGACACCATCATCAGCATATCGTATGTTGTTGATCAATACTCCATTCACCTTGATTCCCATCTCTGCATCCTCCAAAGACTCTTGAAATATGGCTTTCGAATAAATGTTAAATAAAAGAGGGGAAAGCACACATTCTGTCGAAACGCCTCTTCTTATATGTATGGGCTTGGATATAGAATTATCTATTTTTAGCTGTGCCGTTTGATGCCAGTACAAGTTTTCAATGCATCTTATGTCTTTTTGGTCTATATCAACTTTCTTGAGAATCTGCATTAACTTGTGGTGTTGGACACGATCAAACGCTTTTTGGTAATCTAAAAAGCATAGGAACACGTCCTTCCTCTGATTGTAACAATTTTGGACCAGCACCTGTGTTGCTATTATTGCTTCTCGTGTTCCTAAACCTTGCCTAAACCCGAACTGGGAATCACTGATGTCCCATTCACATTTTTTGTATAATCTTTGATGTAGTATTTTTAAGAATATCTTTAAAGTGTGACTCATCAGGCTAATGAGTCTGTGATCCTCACATCTTTTTGCATTGACTTTCTTGGGCAGGGGAATAAAGGTAGAGCGTAACCACTGTTGAGGATAGCAGCCAGTTTCATAAATTAAATTAAATATTTTGTGTAGTGCTGAAATTCCCTTTCATCTAGTAATTTGAGTATTTCTGACGGGATCTCATCTGGTCCAGGTGCCTTATTGTTTTTTGAATTTAATATTGCTTTTTCTCCTCTTTGGTGATTGAAGGGCCAGTCAGCTGGTCGTCTGTATAAACTTCACTCATGGGTCTTTCGTCATGGAAGAGCTCCTGGATATAATTTTCCCATATATCAATTTTCTCCTTTTCACCAGCACTATCTGGTTATCCTGATTAACTATGGTAGTTGGTCTTCGTTTTCTGTATATTCCAGCAGTCTCCTTAAGCTTTTTATGTAAATTACGGTCGTCGTGCTGTCGTTGTAAATGTTCTAGATCGGTACATTGTTGCTTAAGCCATTAATTTTTTGCTATTCTTATTTTTGCTTTTATTTTCCTGTTAATGTTTTCATACATATTGCTGCCATCTTGGTTATTCTTGTGTCTTCGTCGTTCTTCCATTAGTAATAGTATTTCTTCTGTCATCCATTTTTGCTCTTGTTATTTCGTTTGTACCCTAAGTTGTTTTTCATGATATCTGTTACAGCACTTGTAATCGTATTCCATGTTGGTGTTAGATCTTCGGTAATGTTTGTCGTTAATATTTGAATTTGTGTGTTTATTTCATTGCTTATTTCTGCTTGTATCACTGGGTCTTTCAGTTTATCCAGTGCTATCTGTTGTTGAGTTTCAGGCTTGTTCTTGCATGGGAATATTCCAATTCCATTCCAAGTATGAGGAATATCATTGCCTACATTTTTTCTAAGTAAATTTTGTGGATATTGTCTACCATGATGGAATTAAAGACGTGAGTTTATGAAGGTGTTAAGTAACAAAACTAAAAATGTTCAGGAACGGCACTCGAAAGATCTTATGTCTATCTTTCGAATATTTTGATTATAAGAACGCTTATCATATTGAAATTGAATTCTTTAGAAAAGTAAAGAGGTTTTCTAATATTAAAGTAAAAAATAATAAAAAAAATATTAAAATTTTACTTATTTATTAAGAAAAATAGGAGCATAACACCTTAAATTACGAAAACTTATTCGAAAAATATTCTTATTTTTAATTGTTCCCTAATATTGGCCCGTTTTTCTTCCTTATCATGCCATAGTTTCCTTCCACTCGTTCAACTTCGAAACTAACCGAAGATCCATGTTTATTAAGGATATTGACTTTCTTGAAGGGGATCATAATTTCATCATAACACTCTTTAAAAAAGTAGGAGCCATATTCTTTCACTCGAATCCATTTGACTGCATCTCGAAAATTGACCTTTCCTTTGTTTTCATCCGTTTTCCTATTCAGTAATTTTAGTTTACCTGTAATATCACTAATTTTCGATTCTTCCAAAATCTCTGTCTAAATCTAAAAAGGAATGACCGACTTCTGGAAATTTATGATATACCTATCACTTTAAAGTAGCTTTATCTTGCACTCGCAACTTCGCAACTACCTCTTAGCAGGTAAACTCTTACCTTAACTTAGCAGGTCTTCTTCCCAGCTGGTCCCAGTCCAATATTCTTTTTGGCCAACTGTATATGGCATTCTTGGTACATTCCCGTACCACTGCAGGGCTCTGTTTTCCAACTTTTTTGTAAGTGGCATTGTACGTCCATTCTGTTTTATATTTCCTCTTATTCTAGGCTCTCTGGTGATTTGTATGCTGTATTCTTGATCGAATTTCTGATTTCCGATTTATATCTTTCGTAATCCAGTAAAACAAATATGCAAAGACTACAAAGATTCCAATTTAAAGTCTTTCGTGATGTCTGCAATGCCCTATGGTATGTGCCAAACGATGTTATTCATCACATCTGAATGTTGATACTGTTAAAGAAGTAACCGTCACTAAGGGTACAAACTACTTTAAGAGACTATCATCTCATCCAAGTCCACTCGCCAAGGACCTCCTGACGCCACCACTGCTTAGACGACTTTAAGAGTTGAATCCTCTAGATCTCTCCACCACCGCAAGGAACTTGATAGAAGTTACTCATTTGTATAAACGTCAAATATTTGATAAAAAAAACTAGATATAGGTAACGGGTGCTTACCACTGGGTGTAGCTCCCACTGTGCCACTTTTCTATGTCTTTCAAACATATTATTTATTATTATATTGATAATAGATTGCAATAAATAAAGTAAAAAAATATTTTAGAAAAAAAAGCGCTCTGAAATCCAGTTACTATAAAGAAATTATTCAAATAATTGTTTTTTGGTAATATAGTTATAGGAAAATAACACCGTCAAAATTATATGCATATTCTAATTAACTTTTTTTCCAGAGGAAAGTAGAAGATCAGGGAGAGAATGAAGAAGGCTCGAGTGACTATTCTCCCAAAGTACAAATAATAGCAGCTAGTGGTAATAATATAATTGCCGTAGCCAATCCTGCTCTAGCGATGTCTCCAGCTATTATCCCACCCCTTCATTCTAACCAAATATTGGAAGCCAGGGAAAATCGGACAGAAATAGATTGACTGAAGAGCATGGCCACATGTAATATTCTTTTGACAGATCATTTTATAATACTGTGATTTTATATGTTATCTGAAAATCATTAGAGCTGACTGATATGTTGTAAGTTATATTTTAAGACAAGTGTTGATGTTTTTCTTCATTCTATAATCAAAACAATTCATTCTTTTGTATTTAACATTTTATCCATTTTAAACCTTCATTTTATGTAATATTTAACTAGCTGGAGATTTAAAGTATATTTTGATAAAGTACAATTTCTGTAGCCATTGTTAATAAACTTTGTTTAAAATGAGCTGGTCTCAGATTTAATGAAAACCATAATATTACCTGTCGTTCTTTTAATTTACCTCACACAATTATAATTAAGCAACTAAGGGCTAAAATCGATGAAACAGGACTAATATCAGAACATCAATTTGATTTCCGCAGTTAATACATTACTGTCGAACACAAATATCGTGTGGTCAAAAATTGGAAAGACGTAGAAAGCAAAGATACTACATTGCTTCATACACATAAGGAAAACAATTATGCGTTTTCACCTACTATGCAATTTCAAGTCCTCAAAATGTAAAGGAACAACTTAAAACATGTAATTACTTGATGCTTGTAGCTAAAATATACCACGCAACGTGATATGCGAGAAAGTTAAAGACTTGACAGGACTAAGAAAACTCGCTGGTGCACTTCTGGATAGACACGGGATTACTATAATACAGCCGGATGAGAAAGTACAACGCTTGGCTGAATATATCTACGAATTGTTCGATGATGGAAGAGGGGACCTGGAACACATAGAACTTACTTCAGAAGAAATAGGTCTAGATATTACAAAAGGTGTGAAGAAAAACAATTAAGTGGAAAAAGGTCTGGACCTGATATGCTTCCTATCGAAATAATAAAAATTATAGATAATAAGCACATTGATGTTTTATTGACACTTTGAACCATATTTATACTTCAGGTGTATTACTCAAAGACTGATTAACGTCACTTAACGTCGCGTCGGATAACGCCAAAAAGAAAAACTTTAATTAGAACCTTATTAAAAAAAATAGGAATAATACTTTAGTTAAACAAATAAAAAGAAAACACTGGCAGAGCTTTTCAAAACAGATGGAACACCACTTCCAAGGAACACACAAAGAGATCTGGAGAAAGATCAGAGGACAAAGAAAAGAGATGAACAACCTAATAAAAACGAAACATATTATGAAAGAAACATGGGCAGACTACTTTTGATCCCTATTTGCTAAAGGTGACGATAATGAACCACCAACATCAGAAGAGACGTCAAACGAAGAAATAAATATTGGGAAGGAAGAGATAAAGGAAACATTAAGGAAATACTACTAAAACTAATCCAAAAAATAATAGAACAAAACAAAATTCCTCAAGAATGGAGATCGAGCATGATAATATCTCTTTTCAAAAAGGGAGACAAATCGGACCAGAAAATTACAAAGGAAATAATGTATTAAACACAACACTAATCTTAACAACCAAAGTGATAACAAATAAAATTACTGAAATTATAATACTAACAGAAAAACAACAAGGTTTTAGGTCGGAAAGATCATGCACCAATGCTATACTTATAATGAGACAAGTACAAGGGAAATAATTAGAATACAACAAAACGGCATATACAGAGTGGCCCAAAAGTCTGGAAACGGCTAATTATCTCGTAAAATGCTGATCATAATTGTACAAAATTTGAGGTACACCTATTTTGGGATATGGAGATTCCATATTTGATATTTACAATGTTGCCAGATTTGCCGTTTTTCTTATTATTATTATTTTCTTATTATTAGTAACTTTGGTTTTTCAAATACATCACCCTGTATATTCTGTCATTATTGGAATCTCCTATTCAATACGAGTTCAACCATATGTAACACTTATGATTTTATGTAATCTGGAAGGTCATAAATACCTACATAAAACCGAAGTCTAGCAACGCCTAAATTGTTTCAATAAATTTTTTAATACTAACTATTTTCAAATACATTAAAACGTAACAATTGATAGTTTAGAACATTTTTTAACATAGTAGTTACGTTATTAAGTGTTCAAATGTGCTCAATTTGTGAGTTGACAGCAGCCTAATCGATGGTAGAAGGCGTCTACCACATTTCTTCATGATTGTCTAGAAATTATTCGAGATTCATTGATAATTCGTTGCCTTAGCTCTGCGAGACTTGCTGGTTAAGTTTTGTAAACTGAATTTTTCAAGTATCCCTAATAAAAATAATCTTTAGAATTGAAATCGGGTGAACGCGGAGGCCATTCAATTCTACCTTGTCTACCAATTTATCGTCCAGGAAATATCTCATCTAAATATCGCCGAACATTTACTCCAACTATCTGACGTTAAGTTTCTTTCGACAGAAAATGACCCAATTGAATAAGTAACTACTATATCTGACCATACATTTAATTTTTGTGGTCTTTGAGTATGGTTTTCACGCATTCAGTCTTCAGTGTGAATTTACGTCACACCAACCTTAAATTGTGTCGATTTACACTTCCACACAGTGTAAAAGTTGCTTCATCGGAAAAACATATTCTGTTAACGAAATTTTAATAATTTTCAATTTTATCCATCATTACCTCAGTAAACTCTAATCTACGACCAAAGTCATCTTCACTTAATTCTTTCAATAAGTTAATTTTGTATGATTTAAATTTATTTTTACGTAATAAACGTAAGACTTAAGAATGATCTACATCATGTACTTGTGCAACCCTGCCTGGGGATGTATGTGGATCATCAACAAAACTTTGCTTATATCTGAAGTTTTGTTGTCATTGATAACTCGTTTCGGTCAACCTGATAGGTATCTATCTTTTACTTCTCCAGATTCCTCAAATCGCCTTACAGTTTTTTGTACCGTCGTCTTATGAATAGGAGAACGGTTTAGAGAACGGCATTTTAGAGAAGCAATTTAAATTGCAGAACTTTTTGAACCACAACTACTGTCAATTTTAGTTCATAATTTAAATGGTGAACAGATGTCAAAATCACAGCATTCTCCATTTAAATATTTAAATTTATTAAAATCTACATATTTTGCACTGTTTTATGTATTTAAGATTTTTCAGACTACATAAAATCAAGTGAACATATGGTTGAACTCGTATTGAATAGCTGAACTCGTGTGAAATTCACACTGAATGCGTGAAAACTATACTAAAAGACCACAAAAATTAAATTTATGGTCAGTTATAGTACTTATGGGTACTTATTTAATTGGGCTATTTTTTTTTTCGAAAGAAATTTAACGTCAGATAGTTGGTGTAAATGTTCGGCGTTATTTAGATGAGATATTTCCCGGACGATAAATTGGTAGACAAGGTAGAATTGAATGGCCTCCACGTTCAACCGATCTCAATCCTAAAGATTATTTTTATTAGAGATACTTGAAAAATTCAGTTTACAAAACTTAACCAGCAAGTCTTGCATAGCTAAGGCAATGAATTATCGATGAATCTCGAATAATTTCTAGACAATCATGGAGAAATGTGGTAGACGCATTCTACCATCGATTAGAGTGCTATCAACTCACAAATGGAGCACATTTTGAACACTTAATAACGTAACTATTATGTTAAAAAATATTCTAAACTATCAATTGTTACGTTTTAATGTATTTGAAAATAGTTAGTATTAAAAAATGTATTGAAACAATGTAGGCGTTGCCAGACTTCTGTTTTATGTATTTAAGACCTTCTAGACTACATCAAATCATAAGTGTTATATATGGTTAAACTCGTATTTAATAGGAGATTCCAATAATGACTGAATATACAGGGTGATGCGTTTGAAAAACCAAAGTTACTAGTAATATAAGAGAAACTGAACATCTGGCAACATTGCAAATACCAAATATGGAATCTCGTATCCCAAAATAGGCGTATCTCAAATTTTGTATAATTATGTCTAGTAATTTACGAGATAATTAGCCGTTTCCAGACTTTTGGGCCACTCTGTATATGTTTCGTGGACCATAAGCCCCAATGGGATAAGACAGGGAGACTCCCTGAGTCATGTATTGGTCAACTTGATTATGGGTGAAATAATAAAAAAAGTAAGAAATAAAAAAGGATACCAAATGAGAGAAAAAGAATTGCAAAATAATCTGCTATAAAAACGACGTAATACAATATACAATGTGTGTCAGCCAAATGGAAAAAATTAGCTAATAAATAAATACAGAAGATGAACTGTAATGACTTCAGGATCATATTGAATTTGTACTATATGCAGCGAACGAAAGTACATGTTAACGAATAGCTGTCAGAGTAAATTTAAATGAGACGTGGGGTAAATCGACTTACCATTAACAACAGTAGATATGCGGATGACAATGTCATCTTGACCGAAATATTGAAGATCTTCAGAGACTGGTGAGTAAAATAGAAATGGAAAAGAATACAGTCTAAAAATGAACTCAAGAAGACAAAAGTTATGAGAATATCGAAAATTTAAGGAAGTAACGAGAATCTTCTAATAAATTGAACCAATGTCAAAACGAGTGGACAAATATATGCATATGCTGGCACCAATAATTACTTCTATGAAATTAAAATCAGAATAGAAAAATTCTGGAGCAAATTTCAACAAAATGAGAAGAGTGCTCTGCACAAGAGATTTGAAGTTGGAGCTAAGAGTTAGGTTGGTGGGGTGCTAAGTTGACTTGACTTAATTTTATGGAATTAAAACCTTAAATGAGAATTCAATAAAACAACTGGAACACAAATAGTCATAAGACATGGAAGGCATAATACGTCACAAACAAAAAGGTTTTGTGAAGCATGGATAAAGAACTGGAAATTTTAAATACTACCAAAACAAGAAAATTGAAATATTTTAAACACATTACCCGTGAAGAGAGATTCAACGTGCTCCAACTGATTATGAAGGGAAAGATCTAAGGAAGAGAAGTGTAGAGTGGCGTAGAATATCATGGCTGCGTAACCTGCGATAACGGTA